CCACCCATCCATCCATCCATCCATCCATCCATCCATCCATCCATCCATCCATCCATCCACCCATCCATCCATCCATCCATCCATCTACCCACCCATCTATCCATCCATCCACCCACTCACCCACCCACTCAGAGATTATTGATTTATGTCTGGAAAGAGGCCGGAATCCCATGTACTAACTTAGTGAGCTCTTACTGAGTTTGAGTGTCATCCACCATCCATCCATCCATCCATCCACACATCCACCCATCCATCCATCCATCCATCCATCCATCCATCCATCCATCCATCCACCCATCCATCCATCCATCCACCCACCCATCTATCCATCCACCCACTCACCCACCCACTCATCTGCCCATCTGTACATCCATCCACCCACCAATCCACCTATCTATCCTCTCCACCATGTTGCATTCCTGGATGCCATGGTGGTAGAACAACCCTGATAAAACTCGCCGGCTTATGCAGCAGTGCTATGTACCCTCATAGCTCCACGTGGGCTGGGCCACGAGCCCTTCCCAGCTCAGCCTAATAATCTTCAACTTCTAAAACTAATTGGAAACTGGGGAATCTCCTTGCAGTGGTCTTTATATTATTTTTATTCCATCCAGCCAGGAATGAACAATGTGCTGGACTACGGCTTGGACCGCGTGACCAATCCAAATGAAGTTCAGGTAAACCAGGTGGGTGTCTGCAGACAGTGGGCAGGGCCTGGGTCGGGCTCTCAGGCCCAGAGATGTGTGAGGGTCGGAGCAGGGAGGCCCCAGCCAGGGGCCCGCGGATGGAGAGAATGCCGAGGGTGCCCCGCGACTACACAGCAGCCTTGTAGACTTTTCTGAGCCACAGAAAAGCCTTTGAGAATCTGATGACAGCCATGAACCCTCTACCCAAATGCACACGGACATTCTGCCCAGTTTCCGCCAGTTCTCAGGCTCCCGGGGCCTGGAAGCTCCGGCTCACCATCCTTGAATCAGTTGACTAGACCTTACTCCCTGGAATTTTACCTGACAGTGGGGTGGGAAGCTTACCAACACCCTCCTTTGCTTTCTTAGAAGTGTCTTTGTTTGACAGGGCCCTTTCCCTCAATAGGCCAGTTAGGTTAGGTGGGTGACTGATTTCCATTTCCTCTGGGGTTTTTTTATTTAAAGAAACGCTGTGCTGTTCACTGTTCCTGAGCGGCACTACAGACAGCTGATTCTCGGGGGCTCCCCGTGGGGTGTTGAGGAACACCCATGGTCTGGCCTAGGAGCTTTGCCTTTGCTGTCTGCCTCCCAGCAAGCCTTCAGGCCTGGTGCCGGGAAGGAGGGAGAAGCAAATGGAAGGGGAAGGAAGAGGGAGCAGGAAAACGATGCCGAGGCAGCTCTGTGATGTGCGTGAACTTTGGTCCGTTTGGACCTGGAACTCAGGGTGTCAGCGGGTGCCCCCCGTGAGTGCCAGAGGGACACTCTGAGGTCCCTTGCCCCCGGCGCACGGTGACCTTACCTTTGACACACACATGGGCCGTCAGCTTCAGGGCCTATCTCCATGCTCCCTCCTCAGATAACAGGTAATTGCCAAGGCCTGCCAGGTTCTGTCTCCATGGAAACAAAATCATCAGGGAAAGTACTGAACCAGGGTAGAAGAGTTGCCTTTGTAAAGGGTAACTGGCAGCTCTGGAAGCCTCTGGAATGGAGGAGGGGCTGGCGGTGGAACGCACACCATTCAGTCTGCCCCCAGCCAGCCAGGCTTCCACTCGCACGCGTGCGTGCATACGCGTGTGCATTTTAGCTTCAGCTCAGGGAGGAACCTCGAGGAGGCCAGCAGCTCCCTGCTGGGGTAACTTCTACTCCCTACTGCTTTGGGGTAACCTCCCAAGGCTGCATCCACACCCCTCCTCCCAGAAGAGGCCCCTTCACCCTCCCTGGCGGCCAGGCAGGGCAGCGAGCTCACCTCCGGATCTCAAAATCGGCCCCTGGCCAGATGCTGGCGGGCCCTCAGTGTGTGTGAGGCAGGGGCTGTCTTCTCCCTGCTGGTGCTCGGCGCGGGGTGCTTCTCTCAGGTCTACCCTCATCTTCTGTGTCTCTTTCTCCCACCAGCTCTCTTTCTACGGTCTGTGCACTTGGGTCACTGTGGAATATTAAGAAGAACATCGAGCTGGAATTTCATGCCGACTGGCCCCTGCTGCCCTGCCCCCACCCCAGTGCCATGGCTCACACACAGTGGTTTATCTGCCCTGAGGGGAGAGGGTCCCAGAACATGAAGTGTCTGCATGAGGCCTTGGGAGTAGGAAGGTTTCCTGCTTCTGTTTCGTTTCCCGGAAGAGCAAGCTTGCAGGAAGAATATGCCACTTCTGAGCATTAGTAACTTTTTTCCTTTTTAAACATTTTATTTATTTATGCATACAAGAACAGGGGTACCAGCCAGAGGTGCGTGGTGGCGGGGAGGGGAGGTGTGAGAGGGTTCACCGGAGACAGAGGGGGAACAGAACAGGCAGATCCACTGAAATACACAGCTGAGGGGAGCAGCGGGGAGGCAGGAGAGGTCTGCTGCACCCTGTATGTCAGCTCCCTGGCCGGGGATCGAACTTGTGCTGCAGTGGCTGCAGATAGCTTCATAGCTCTGAGACGTAACCCACTGTGCCACCAGAGAGGGTCCACATTAGTAACTTCTTAAAATGAAATCTGTTCTCTTGAAATAGGGGCAAAACCCCCACAGAAATGGCAGCATCGAGTGTCAGAAAGGGGGCGCCGTGGGCAGAGTCTCTGCCCCTGGGTGACCCACTTCCTCGGGCTGAGGGCCTCTGGCCAGTGTGGCTGCCCAGTCCTAGGAGAAACTGGCCAGGTGTTGGGGACCAGGGCCACCCCCAGAGAAACTGTCTTCTCTCTGTTCCATCATCTGGAGGCATATGGGGTCCCAGGTGGACACGGTATCCCACTTTCCCTTTACTTCAGAGAAAACCTGACCCTGTTGGGCAGAAGCTGGATGGCGGCCGGGCCCTGACCTGGCTGTGGGCAGCTGTGTCCATAGCTGGCCATTCCTCCCTCCGTCCTGACAGGATTACGTGGTCATTCAGTGACGAGGGCCAGCAGGTGTGCTGAGGGGAGCTTGCTTGGAGGTGAGCCCCAGCGCCCCTGCTCCCTGGGTGGCCTGAGATGAGGCCAGGGCCATTCAAAGCTCAGTCTCCTCATCCATAGACTTGGGAGTGATGACGGTTCCTCTCCTGGAGGGGTCAATGAGTCCATTTGTGAAGGTTCTGGAAGTGTCTAGAAAGTACCAACGTGTGGACACTCCCCCAAACAGTGAGGGCGAGAATTTACGTGGTTCCGTGGACCCTCGACCCTATTTCGGGGCCATTGGTTTTCTCGTCATTTTCTCTTCTGCTTTTATGTGCCCTCACACTTCTTCCTGCTTGGAGGCCGCGGCAGGAACTCCCCAGTCTCACCCCCTTCCTGGCCCTACAGACAGCTGCTGAGAGCAGCCTGTTTTTGCAGCCCTGCACACTGGACTTGGGGTGGAACACAGAAATACGGCCCCGGTCAGCTTCAGGGCTCTGCAGAGCCGGCGGCCTGGGGCCTCAGTGGGTGACAGCACCCCCATAGACCCTCTGAGGTGGGGGCAGTTTTCTTGTGGCCTCTGTAAGGGCTTGGGGCCTGCCGTGGTGCTGAGGGCACCCCAGGTCCCAACTCAGGGAAGACGCCTGCAACCCAGGGAGGCAGCGCATCTCGCTAGCACCCAGTTACAGAGGTGAGGGGGCAGGCGGGGAGAGTGGCCACTTCCCAAGACACACCTGGGGCCCCGGGAAGCAGGGATTTGGCTCTCGGCTGACGCGCGTCCAGCCCACTCTGCGTCCTGCCTGGGGGCCTAATGTCCCTGTCATGGCTTCTGGACGCTGTGTGGGATTTCATTGCCTTCTCAGGGGATTTGATAAGAAAGGGAGCGTCGGTTACATTTTTCACACGAAACAGAAACAGAGATTTAGCAGTTTGGCCACCCTGGCCCAGCCAGGAGCAAGTCCAGGTCTTCCCCTGTCCTATAGTCTTGCCCTTCCCTGAGGCTCCCATCCCCCCCACCCCCCCAAGCCAGCCTCCTTTGGTCTGGTCCCAGGCCAGTTTCATGGGCAGGTGGTTCCTATGCTGGAGCAGGGTCCTTCCTGTGGTCAGTCGGGGTCCCTGGCTTGGGAGATCTGTGCATGTCACTGTGGTTCACACATACCCATCACAATGAGTGTTTGGTGTGCATGTGTATACGTTGGCACAAGGACCCTGCCTTTCGCTCTGCACTGGGCCCGACAGCTTGTGAGGAAAGTCAGCCTGAGCAAGGAGTACCTGGGAGGACAGACGCCACAGGAGACGGTCACTACCTTAAACGCCTGTCTCTGTGGACAGCCTCGCCCTGCTCTTTTCCTGCCTGCTTCGGATGAACCACTCTAGTTCCAGATGTCCCCCTTGACCCTCTGGCTACTCCCCGTGTTGTGGTCCTCCATTCCTCACGGCTCTCCCCATCTGCATTGTCCTTGCTGTGTCTGCATGGTGCCTGACTGGCCCAGACTCTTGCCCTCTCTCCCTGACCCTCAGCTCCCGTCTACAGTGGCCCTGGCTCTCAGGCCACACAGTGACCCCCGCCTGCCCTGTCCCTTGTCTGCTGCCGCCTCCGGGCTTCAGGCTGACAAGCTGGCCTCAGAGCTGTGTAAACAAGCTCTCAGCGTGTCCCTATTTGGACAATTCTGCAAGTGGGAAAAAAACAAGACAGTATTCCAGGAATGCAGGGAATTCGAGGATCCTCAGGCAGGCAGGGTATCCCTCCCAGCAGCAGCCAGGGTGAGGCCTCAAGAAGTGACTTCACACCAGGAGGCATGAACGGCTGGGAAAGCCCAGGAATGTGCATACATTCTGGGGTAGAAAACTCTTTCCCTCTTATTCTGTCAAGGCCGTTGCCTTTGAATTGCTTAGGAATATGTGTGAGCCTGTAAGATTTTTTTTTAAATTTTGTCTATTTTTCTATTTCTAGTCTATTTTTACATCATTTTGTGTCTTTTTCCGTCTCAGCTGCAATCCCCGTGGGCTTCCCATCACCGAATCACCCATGTGCCATCACCCATGTGCCATCACCGTAGTCCAGTGCATTTCCTTCCCCCCACTGTTTTTGATCCCCTTCCCCAATCCACTCCCATAAAATGTCTCTGGTATATAGCTGTTCATTATAATTGTTATTTTCTCGCCTGGTCCTTTATGCTCCTTTAACCACCGGGTACTTTTCCTTTTCTTTCTGGCTTACTTCACTAAACCTGATCCCTTCCAGCTCCATCCATGTTGCAGCAAAAGGCATGTGTTTATTTATTTATTTTTTTTTGGTTGCTGAATAATATTCTGTTGTGTATATGTGAGCCTGTAATTTTTTTTTTAAGATTTATTTATTTATTCATTCAGAACTGGGGTACAATCCAGAGATGCGGAAGGTGAGAGGATTCACCAGAGACAGAGCGGGGAGCAGAACAGGCAGATCGAAGAAGTACACGGCTGAGGGGAGCAGCGGGCGGGTCAGGAGAGGTCTGCCAGGCCATGTGGGTCTCCTCCGGGGCAGGCGGGGATCAAACTCATGTGGAAGTGGCTTAAGCTTCTTTGTGCAGTGCTTTAACCCGCTGCGCCACCAGGGAGGGCCCGAGCCTTAATTTTTAAATAACTTTGCTTTTCTTTAAATCAATGTTTCTTGTGACTTTTGGCAAAGCAATATTTTATTGATATATTCAGGAGATTTGGCAAATAAAAACATAGGCAGACCAGTTCAATTTGATTTTTGGGCTAATAATAAACTGCATTTGTTGTTGTTGTTAGTATAGTGTTAGGATGTTTAAGGCTTGCAGGTACATCTACCTTGTTTTATGATGAGGATTAATTCTGTTATTCTCAGTAGAATTTTGAGCCCAAATCAACAGCCAAATGGGTGCTGAGTCTGCTGTGCCTGTCACCTGTGTCTGTTACCTCACTCGGCCCTCCTCCCCCCTACTCCCTTTTACAAATGAGAAAACAGAGGCTTTTGGAGGCTTAATAAGGCATTCAGAGCCATGTGGGCGCCAGATGTCCGCAGCAGGGCAGGGAGCTGGCTGGGTCTGACTCCAGAGTGAGTCCTCTTTTCTGGACCATCCACACATCTCCTCACCCCCACCTAGGCCAAATCCCCTCCTCGTCTTTTAGAAAAATCTAGAACCCTCTCTACCACACCTCTGTAAATTCAGAGACACCCAGTATGTCAATCTAGAGGAAGCTGGATCAAGGATATCTATTTTTAAAGCTAAAAATCGATGCAAAAAATCTATGTGGACAATCCAAGGTGAGGTAGGGAGCTCTCAGTTTCAAGTGGACCCACTGCTGCCTGATTTCCAGAGATGACTGCTGATTCTGGGGATCAGAAAGCCAACAGTGAAACATACCATCGATTCAGAGCCCTGTAAAGGTAGTAAAATCAGGTGACATGAATGAAAATATAAAGAAATTGTAAGCCCTGAATATTGAGAAAATAGCCCCAGAGAAGAACATACTAGGCCAAAGTCAGACCGTGCTAGGTAGACTAGAAATGAGGGTGTAAGGATAGCTCCCTTGGGGTGCAGAGAAGGGCAGCATGCACTAAGAATCTGGCTCATTGTATCTGTCCCTTCAGAAACCTGTGGGCCACAGAGCTGTGACTGACAGGAAGTGGCAATAGAGTAGCGTCTGACAGGACGTGGCCACAGGCAGTGGCTGACAGGAAGTGGTCACAGAACTGTGGCTGACAGGAAGTGGCCATAGCATAGCGTCTGACAGGAAGTGGCCACAGGCAGCGCTGACAGGAAGTTGCATTTTGGGCCCTGGTATTTTGAAGTGACAGTATCTTCTGAGCAGGCAGGGAGGGGACAGCTTGATTAGGATCTTGACAGCATGAATGAGTCCCCACCCCCACCCCACCCCCAGGTTTAGTGAGATATTACTAGCAGATAACTTACAGTTTAAGTTGGGTAATAGTAATATGATGATCAGATATTTGCATATTTTGCAAAATGATTATTACAATTAGCTCCTCCTTCCCCTCACATAATTATGGCATGTGTGTGTGTGTGTGTGTGTCTGTCTGTCTCTCTGTGTGAGTCTGGTGATACCATTTAAGATCTAGTTTCTTAGCAATTTTCAAGTGGATGATACAGTGTGGTTAATTATAGTCACGGGTGGTTTGTTAGCTCCTCAGATCTTATTTATCTTTAGCTGGGAGTTTGTTTTACCATCCTCAGCATTAATTAAAGAGAGCTTCCTGTGTTTGTGTTGCACCTCTTCTTTGTTTTAGTTTTAAATGAAGCGGCTGGGCGGAGTCTTCTCATCCTGCAGCTTTGCAGCTCCAGGGCAAGGGAGGCATTGAAGAGAGAGCCGGCTGTTTTCTCTTTCTCTGTATCTCTGCATCTCTCCGTAAAGGGCAGGGGGGGGGTCTAGGCTTGAATCTTGACCAATGACCAAAACAGAGATGCTGAGCTAGTTGTCCAGAACCTCTGAAAGCCTTGGCTTACTCAGGGGAAGAGTGGACCCTAAACCCTCCACCTTTCAAATGTTGTCAGGGCTCAGAGAGGTATAAATTGCTTTGCACTAGGTGGTTATTATTACACCGAAGTCCAGCTTCTTCTTTGAGCAGAGGGTGGAGATCAGTAGAGAGCACTTTTTAAAAAAGATTTCTTTATTGATGCATACAGAACTGGGGCACAGGCCAGAGGTGCAGGGGCGGTGAGAGGCTTCACCAGAGACAGCGTGGGGAGCAGAACAGGCAGATGGACAAAGCACACTGCTGAGGGGAGCAGTGGGGAGACAGGAGAGGTCTGCCGCGCCACGTGGGTCACCTCCGGGGCCAGGGATCCAGTGGGCACTGAAGTGGCTGCAGCTGGCTTGCAGTCCCGGTCGTTGCCCCACCAGGGAGGGCCTCATCCCATTTTTCTAAGCCAGGGAGCGCACTGGGATGGTCATTAATTTGCTATTTGTTAAGCAGCTACTTTCCACCAGAAAGGCTGGGAGGCGAGATATGGCCCCTCCCCCACCCTTCCTGGTACCCTGTGGAGTCCTGCAAACAGAGACAGAATTGCAGCCTGGATGCGTGTATGAAGGAGTGTGTGTGAGTGCAAAGCAGAGACGCCCACCTGGGCTTTCCCTTTCTGAGATAATGCTTCGAAAGTCCCACCCAGCCAAGAAGGTTTCCTGTGAAAGCAATTATTTAGAAGCAATGAGTGAAGCCAAATGAGCCCAGCCTGCATTAGAAAGGAGCAAGAATGTGGCTTTTCCAGCATGGATCCACTTTCTTTCCTCCTCAGCGACTCTGGGCCAGCACGGTATTACCAACTGGCCGACTTCTGACTCTGTCTCAAGGGAACACTTGGTCGCGTGAAGCAGCGTGGATATTAGCAGCTCGAAGCATAGGAGTCAGCACCAGGCAGGGCAGCCCCGGAACAGAACCGAACCTTGGAGAACCGAGGGGTGGGGGGAACATCTCACTGAGCCCAACTTCCAAGAGCGCTTGGGACAGAAGGGAGACCCGAGGACGCTTGTCAGCGTATAGACGGTTTCATGAGACAGGTGGTTTCCAGGGGTTTCTAAGACCCTCACGAGTCCCTCTTGGAGCCAGCCTTTCTGTGCTGGAACGATACAGTCTGGAGAAAGGGGGCCGACAGCTCACCCCCAGGAAGAAGCTCAGCAGCTTCAGTGACAGGGGTCCTGACATAATCTTCCCCCTTATGCCTCCACTCTGGGCCTCCGGTTTTAGTGGATGCTGGTCTTGTGTTTGTTCACGTGTGCTTCATTTTCTGTTGTGTGGCTTTTCTTTTTCCACTTGTGGTACTGGTCAAATTGTCGTGAATACCTGAGGAATGAATGCCCCATCCCTTTAGGAATCTCTCACGAGAAAAGAAACACCCAAGTTCCATCTCATGTGCTTTCCCATCTTTATCTGAGTCCGCTGCGGTCTCTTCCTTTCATTTATCCTGGGAGCAAGGTAAAGTTACAGCAGTAAATCATGCTCTCTCCTCATCACAACTCACTTGGCCTAACTCTGTAGTGGCTGGGTAGCCGGGGGTGGAGGTGGTGGAGATGGGAAGAGTTTGCTTTTAAGTAAGACAAGATGGACAGTCTTCTCATGGGAAGGGATTTTTATTTCTCAAGTGGGTATTGGAACTGTCCTTTAATAGCCTCTGTTTAATGGTTTTGTTTCTTTGTTTTACAGAAACAAACAATCACTGCTGTTAAAAAAGAGGTAATTAATCTCCCAATTCCAGGAAAATTTGATTTCAAATCCTTAACAAATTCTCTGTACTTTGGTTTTCTGCTCTGCACTCAGTAATGAAATGAAAGCCACGTGGAACATCCAAACAATTGTTTCCAAATGAATGAAGGCACAGAATGACAAAGCATCTTTTGTTTGATCTGAGTGGGGCTTAGGCTGAGAGCTGGGATACAGTACATTCTCAGAAGCCACAGAACTGAGAGACAGGGGAGCAAAGGTTGCAGGGTGTTTGTATTACCACTCGATCCTGCTCCCCAGGTCAGGGCCCTTAGGAATCTTCCAGGTGACAAGTCTTGTACAGAGAACCCAAGACCGAGTCCTGAGCAGTGCTGGCCATGAAGTTAGACCCGCCTCTGTCAGCCAAAAGCACGCGAGAGCCCAGCATCTGTTCCTGGGTGTAGTTCTAACATGCTTTAGAACTTATTTTCTTTCTTCTTCTTCTTTTTTTTTTTTTTTAAAGATTTATTTATTTATGCATACAAGAACTGGAGTAAAGGCCAGCCATGTGGGGGATGACACAGAGCAGGGAGCAAACAGGCAGACTGATAGAAACACACTGTTGAGGGGAGCAGTGGGCGGGTCAGGAGAGGCCTGCTGCACCACGGTGTCAGCTCTCTGGCCAGGATCGAACTAGGGCTGCAGTGGCTGCAGACAGCTTCATAGTGCTGCGCTTTAACCCCTTGTGCACCAGGGAGGGCCCAGACCTTATTGTTTGCAGTGGGTGCCTCCTCCAGACTAGTCCAGGAGGCTCCTCATGTGGAGTTTGGGGCCACCTGTCTACGGTGGCTCAGTCCGATTGTCCTGGCCGGTGTGGGAAGGGTGTGGTTCTGGAGTGCAGATGTGAGTGTGAGCTGCTGATGCAGCAGCGCGAAGAATTGGATGTTTCTCACAATTCTCTCTCTTCCAGATCATGTATTACCAGCAGGCTTTAATGAGGTCCACCGTGAAGTCTTCTGTGTCCCTTGGAGGGTATGTTCCCAGTTTATTGGTCTCGATGAGTTGAGCAATAAGAAGGCAAGAGAGATGCTTGGTTTGCCCAGTGTCTCTCTTCCAGTCTGGTTGGGGTCACTGTGACCCCCTGTAAAATATCTACAAATATCTTTGACATCTTTCCAGTCCCTAATTTGCATAACTCTCTCCTGCCCATGCAAATGTGTCCTCACCTCACTCACGTTTTCTAGCGACTTCTCTGAGTCGCTGCTGAGCTCGGATCACACTCGTGCAAGTGCTCCGTGAGCGTTGCTTGGGGTTATAAGATACAGAGTGTTCTCAGATAAGTGGACTCTGATGTTCTAGAATCCTGACTTCATGAAATGAAATAGGAAGGGCCTTGGAGGAGACTCAAGGCTGCTGGAAACTTCTAGGATCTACTTTCCAGTGCCTCTTGATTATAATTTCGACATCAGTCCTGCTGGACGGGTGAGCTGGCTGTTTTCTTTCCCTTCTACTAAGATCTATGGGAGGATTAAGAGGGCCTCATCCTTTCCACAGCTCAGAGCTCTGGCCTGTCTCAGGGGCCTGCCTACCATGGTGGGACCTTGAGTGTCCAGTGGGTCCTGCTCCCTATGGGGGATGGGGCATGGCAGGTTTTCCCAAACTGCCCCCAAACTGGAAACATGTTGGCTCACAGACTCCAGCTCAACTAGATGGACAGAAGTCTCACAGTCACCCCTCACTCAGTGAGACTGTTACAGGGCACCCCAGTGTGAACTGGGCTGCCCATCTGTGGGTCCTCACCATGCTTAAAATTTAGTTGTACTGCAGGCACACACAAAAGGGTCAATAATGGGTTTACTTACAAAAGGGGAAAGGAAAAGGAACAACCCAGGGAAAGAGAGAGAGATACGAGGTAACTAGAATATCTTACCTGCTCGGCTGACGTGGAGCTCCAATAACAGACTAACTGAAAGCCCCGAGTCATGTGGTCCTGAGAGCCGTTTCCCGAGTGAGAGACGAGCGAGAGAGAGAGCTGTAGGAAACGGCGCCCTATTTATCCCCCAAATGTCCCAGAATTCCTGCTAGCTCTGCCCTTGGGTCCTTGCAGTTCTCTCCCTGGTGCTGCTGGGAGTTGTAGTTTCCAATCACAGGAGTAGGGGGTAGAGTCCAGAAAGCTGGAGTAGGGGTGGAGTCTACAAGACTCTGCGGAGATCCTTTAGGACATCCGTCCCCTTAATAGGACCACAGGTCTTGGATAGGGGCCTGAGTTCCAGGCACAGGCATTAGCCTGACAGGCGCAGGGCTCATCCTGACAGCAGGCCCTCAGGGAGTCCGGGTAACCCGGTGCTCCCAGGGTGAGGGGAGCCCAGGGTGGGAGCAGATGGAACTGGTTGGCAATCTTGAAAACTGAGAAAATGTAAGGCAGTTGTATTTTCAAGGAGCAAAGCGACAACGGGACTGGACTGGGAGAGGTTTCATTTCACAAGTAGACCCGGGACAGAGCTTGTCAAACACCCAGTGGTCTGGAGGGTTGACAGAGTTTTCTAAGAAGACAGTGATTCGTGCGTAATTGAGCCAGTACCGGCCCAGCAGGGCAGGCTGGTCAGCCAACCTGAGTATTGATTTTGTCTCTTGGGTGTTGAACTTCTAGGAGCTGGTTTTGCATTTGCTTTTCAGGATCGTCAAATACAGTGAGCAGTTTTCCTCCAACGACGCCCTCATGTCAGGCTGCCTCCCCAGCAACCCCTGGATCTCCGACGACACCCAGTTTTGGGACCTGAATGCCAAATTGTAGGTGTCCCGTCTGCTGGGGCTTTGAAAGCACGACTTTTGGACTTAGCAGTCACGCGCCACACAATTCACTCTATTCTGGTGTCTTGGGCTTGCCGGGCACGAGACACCGAGCCCCCAGAGCTGAGTTGCTCAGCCCCTGCTCATGGCCACTGCTGCTACTCCTGTGGCCGTGTGATGTGTGGACTCGAAACCTTTGTTTCCAGGGTCTGTGCTGGATTATGGGGGATTCCGGAGAAATGGGAGAAACCCCCCCCCATGAGTTTTGTGATGACCTGTGATGTTAGAGATCAGCCAGTGAAGCTCGAATGTCCTATTTGGCTCAGGGAGACCATGGCAACAGGGAAGGGCGTGGGCTCGCATTTTAGAAGAGGCACTGGGGAGTTACCCCGATAAAAATTGTGGGGGGCGAGGGGTGCATGGCATGTGTACCCCCGAGGCGCATGTGTCTGCGTGGTAGGTGGCAGTAGCCACAGCACATCACCGGGATATGCTGAGTCCTCCCCTGGCCCAGTGTGGTGGCCTGACCTCTGCTGGGCAGTGTCCATGGGGGCACTGGAGTTCGTTGCCCAAAAGGCTCAGGGAGCCCGTGGGTGTGTGAAGCTGTGCTGTGGGCCTCCCCGCTTCCCTAGGAAGGCTGGACCCTGGAGGGCAGGCCCAGAGGACTGGCCACGGCTGCATTTTCCCAGCAAGTGACCACCTGGCCTGTGCCTGGGTGCAGGGGTGGGGAGGTTGGGCTGTGTGGGTCATGGAGGCCGGGGGGCAGGGCACGCCCCTCACGGTGAGCATTTGATGATTTGCACCTCCTGGTCCTTGCAGGGTGGAGATCCCCACCAAGATGCGGGTGGAGCGGTGGGCGTTCAACTTCAGTGAGCTGATCCGAGACCCCAAGGGGCGACAGAGCTTCCAGTACTTTCTGAAGAAAGAATTCAGTGGTGGGTCTCTGCATTTTCTAACGGCTGATTTCCTTCAGCTGGGAGCTTCTTCTCTCCCCTGGCTGCACATTTGACTTCTCTGGGGATGTTTTGACATGTTTGCTCGATCCCAATCCGAGGTGCCTTTATTATTGGTTTGGGGTGGAATCTCTGGGGGTTTTGAATGCACCCCAAAGATTCTAACATGTGGCTTTGATGGGCAACCTGGGCCTTGGCTCCGAGGCAGCTTCCACTGGGGTCCTAAGGGTGTTTGGGGTGATACTTTGTGTCCCATCCACTCACCTGTTTATGTTAATATACTGCACCCAGAAATGTCTGGGGGAAACCATAGACCTACTTAGGACCAAATCCACTAGGCTGAGTATTTCGTTGGTGTCACCCCTTCGTCGAAATATTTACTTTCACGGGGTTTGTCACTTCCTTACTGAGGATGAGCTCCAGGAGTGTCACATTTTGGCCCAAGTCCCACGTGACTGGGGTGTTACTACTGAAATTAGTCCCTCTGGGCAGGTGTTAGCCTGCTCGAGAGCCCGATGGGGCACATTATACTATCATATGCATTTGTGAACACCCTTCCCTCTATTCAAGGCTAATTGCTATGCTACAGCAAAACCAGGGAAGATGGGTGGGAGAGGGGAGCCCTCTGGGCACAGGCCTGAAGCCCTGGGCCGATAAGTGGCTAGGGTGCCATCTAGTGGTGAAATGATGAACTACACCTCAGCTGACCCCACATCACTTCTAACCATGAGAAGCCGTCAAAAAAGATTTCCCTGTGCTATTAAGCGAGTGCTATTAGTATTTCCATGTGAGATTCCTGAGGTTTCAGGTATGAATGCTTTATTTAATTAATTTGTTATGGATATATAACTCACTTGCCATAACAGTTTCTCTTTTAAAGCATACAGCTCAGTGGTTTTCAGTATATTCACAAAAGTATGCCACCAGCCCCCCTCTATAAATCCAGGACATTTCACCACTTTTAAAAGAAACTTCTGCTCATTAGAAATCATTCCCTATTCTCTTCCCCTACTCCCGCCCCCCCAGTACCCCCCTTTGCCGCTCTCAACATCAGCCCTAGGCAACCACTTAATCTGTGCTTTCATGGATTTGCTTATTCAGGACGTTTCACATACATAAATCAAATCGTATATAATATGTGGGAACCCCCTGGCTGGGGACATGCTGGGTGCAATCAGTTCCTTTCCAAGGACATAAAAGGGGGGGTTCCTGGGTCCCCTGGCCCTGGGCCTGGGCGGTGAGTCGAATGTGGCCCCCTCCAGGAGTGCCTGAGACTGGACTCCTCTGTGGAGGGCAGGATCTCAGCAGATGCTTTTCTTTTCTGTTCTCTTCCCCACTTGTTTCCTGCCTGGCTTTCATCTGCGTGGCCCCCACCCCCTGCGCAGGGGAGAATCTGGGATTCTGGGAAGCCTGTGAAGATCTGAAGTATGGAGATCAGTCCAAGGTCAAGGAGAAAGCTGAGGAGATTTACAAGTGAGGATTAGCCAGGTTGTCTGAGAGGCCTCCTCTCAGACCGCCCGCTGGCCACCCCCTGGCATCTGAGGTGGAGACAGATTGGGGGGAAGGCGCCCTGCAGCCCACATGTCACTGTCATCACTCCTCTGTCCCCCCAAGCTATAAATACACACCACTGCCCTGGGGGCTCTCCTGAGGAATGTCTGGGGGGCAGGTGACGGGTGCACATCCCCACGGGAGTGTGCCTGGGAGTTAAAAACCAAGCTGCCCCCAATTACAGTGCAGTGTTTTGTCTGTGACTTAGCCCCTTGGGTCTCCTGAGGGGTGTGTGCATTAGAGAGAGAAGCAAGGAAGCAGCGAGATGAGAAACCTCTTCCCTCAAGCATCTTAGAGAACGGAGGGCCATGACAGGTGGCGAGGTTCTCCTAGGGCCTCCCAGGGAGCTGGTCACCCAGCTGGCCAGCTGTGTGGGCCTGGCTCCGGCTCTCACTGAGTGGCTCCGCCTTCCAAATCCCAGGGCCACCCCCGACCCTCTCCAGGCCCGCCTCTCCCCAAGTCACCCCTCTAGGGCCAAGCTCCAAACAGAAGGGTGAGTTGTCAGGGGACCCCAGGGCTGCTGCTCTCTGCACCCCTGCCCCGCCCAGCCTGGCTGCTCCCGCCTGTGGTGGTTGACCCTGGGTGCTGGCCACGGTGGACACCTGCTGTGGGCTCTGAGGCCCAGCCCTTGTGGCGCAGACCCACTCGGGTTCCTGCAACTGACCCTGGCTGGGCCGCCCCTGCTAAGCCCCCCCAGTCTGCAGCAGAGACACTCGCCTTTATCATTCTGTTAGTGTCCTCCTCCCCCGGCGCCCCAGCTGGGGCAGAATTCCAAAAATCGAAAGCACAGCTTAGGAGTTGGGCAAGATATCTGAGTGAGGACAATTCAGTCGGGAAGACAGAGCTCAAACACCCGAGGCCCCGTGGGACGTGGGACTCAGGCGGTGTGGCTGAGCGCGGGCTCCTTCTGGGGCCCTGGCCAGGGTGCCCTGGTTCTCCCACCCTGGTGCTGGGATCATGGGCTGCCCCCAAACTCAGCCTGAGAGATTCGCCCCCAAACACATGCACAGATCCCGTCCAGGGGGATCAGAGCTCCCAGGCACCAGCTTGGAGGCGGCTTGGCCTGGTTCCAGATGGGCCCCAGGGAAGTGAGGTGGGGAGAGGAGGGAAGTTGGGGGCCCCCCTTCTCCCTGGCCCCTTGGGTGACCGCATGTCCTCTACTCTGTCTCCTCAGGGAAAACACCACAGTAAATGCTTACCGTCCAGTACCAGCAAGATGTTTTCTTGCTTCAGAGGTTGACAACTGTTGAAACTCTTTAGTGTTTCCCAAAAAAGGGGGCCGCTTTCACCCAGGCCAACCCCTCCCCCAAGCAGATCAGGAGTTTTCACTCACTGACACGGTTCAGTTACTCGCGCCGACATTTTCCTCCCACCCAGACTATTCCTGGCCCCCGGGGCCAGGCGATGGATAAACATCGACGGCAAGACCATGGACATCACGGTCAAGGGCCTGCGGCACCCCCACCGCTATGTGCTGGACGCGGCGCAAACACACATCTACATGCTCATGAAGAAGGTGCGTGCGTGGGTGGGTGGGTGCGTGCGCGGGTCGGCGGGGCCGGCGGGCCCGGGCGCCCGCGGGGAGGTGAGGCGGCCCCCCGGCGGGTGGGGGGGGCGGGGGTGACTTGGCGTCCTCCCTGGGTTGACACTTGGCTCTCAGAACACTGCTTCCCCCCTTGTTCCCTCCAGGATTCCTATGCGCGCTATTTAAAATCTCCCATCTATAAGGAAATGCTGGCCAAAGCCATCGAGCCTCAGGAAACCTCCAAGAGAAGGCAAGTGGGGTGGTCTGGACTGCTGGGTGCACAGAGCGAGGGTCCCTCTGCTTATCTGCTTGATGAGGATATTGGGGACCGCGAAGGGGTTGCCCCGTTCGGCTCCATACACGCCTTGAAATCACCCAGCAAGGCCTTCGTAACTACGGCCAGAGGACTTTGCTTTCCTCACGCTGGTTTGAAAGCGCTTCAGTTCTCAGCTCGATGGTCACCTTTATCCCAGGGAGAGGCAGCAGCATGGTACTAACTAAAAAAAAAAAATATTTATGTATGCAGACAGAACTGGGGTACAGGCCAGAGGTGCAGGGGCGGGGAGCGGATTCGTGAGAGACAGAGTGGGGAGCAGAACAGGCAGGTGGACTGAAATATACCGCTGAGGGAGCAGCGGGGAGACAGGAGAGGTCTAGAAGCTGGAGGGTTCTGACCGCAGGGGAGAGTCCAGGGTTTGTTTTCTAGAGCCAGGGGCTGGCCTGCAGGGGCAGAGAAGGCCGGCAGCGGCCAAAGAGGGAAGGGGAGCTGGGGGTGCTGCAGAGGCAGCTGGCACCTTCCAGAGAGGGGCTCCCGGTGGGCTCTCTCCTCCGAGGCCACGGGGCTCAGGTGGAAAAATGAGGGGCAGCTGCTGCACCATGTGGGTCAGCTCCCTGGCTGGGGATTCTCCCCTGGGGTCAGAGCCCTCCAGCTTCTAGTGCCCAGACCTGGCTTCACTTCAGGAAGAGCCTGTAGGAGTCAGGGTGACAAATCCACTTCTCAACTTTACAGAAGCCACAGCTGCAATGTCGCCATCCCAGCAGCCTCTGTGTCTCATGTAACCTTGCGTGACCACGGTGGGGCACACTCTGGCCCCCTCTCCGACGGGGAGACCAGCACAGAGACTGCGCACGCTGGCTGTGAGGAGCCCCCCGAGGCTCGCTGGGCAGTCGGAACCAGCCCCGATTTCGGCCCTCCCGCCGCGACCCCCGTGGGGGCGGGCGCTGCCCTCCCTGACCTCCCGTCCATCCTCCCTTCCAGCTCCAGCCTCCCGTTCATGCGGCGACACCTGCGCTCCAGCCCCAGCCCCGTCGTCCTGCGGCAGCTGGAGGAAGAAGCCAAGGCCCGGGAAGCAGCCAACACGGTGGACATCACCCAGGTCATGAGCAAGCTGGACCGTAGGAGCCAACTCAAAAAAGAGCTGTCTCCTAGATAAATCTGGGGGTGGCGGGCGGGCACTGGGAGACATGAGCCAGGAGGGGCAGGGTGGGCGTCTGGCCTGGCCGTGCCCCGCTCAGCCTTGACCCTCTGCCCTCTGCAGGTGGGCTCCCAGCTCTGCAGCCAACAGGGTGGGCAGAGGAGGGCGGAGGCTGTCTGGTGGAGGAGCTCGGGGGTCCTCATAGTTGGGGGTTCTCATAGTGAAAGCCAAGTTCCTCTGTATCAATGTTTGCTTTGAACACTAGAGAAGGCGCCTCCTCCCCCCTCCTGTGCCCGGCATTGTGTCTCATCCTCCGCTCCAATTCGCCTCTGCTTGGAAAGCAGTGCTCTACAGGGCTCCCCTATAAATGTACACCCCCCCCCCAAACCTGTTACACTCACCTGCAAACACCCAGCTGGGACGTTTCTGTTCATCCTGTTGGTCATAATTATTGAGGGTCACTGGGCTTTCCCCTCCTCTGGTCTCCCCATGCCCTTTGGCACGCGGGGAGGACAACTTGTAGGACTGAAGGACTCTAGCTGCGACTTCCAGGGCGCGGAGTGAAACATTCTGTGGGATGAGCGTCTTTTATCTTGCGGGTGAAGTCGAAGGGGCTGGGAGGAGGGATGGCAGATGTCCGTGATAGTCTCGAGATGAGAATGCCAAAGAGAGGCTCCGGCACAGTCCGGAAGCTTCCCTCCTCAGCAGCATTACCTGGGGCCAGGCCACCCTGTCACCTTGGGGGGCCTAGAAGCTACTTCTTGAAGCTAGGTTTGCCTCGTACCCCTGTGTGAGAGTCCCAAGGGGAGAGAATTGCCGAGCGAGATCGTGCACAGCACAAAGACTCCCTCAGCGCGCTGACTGCATGCCTGTGACGTGCCCGTGACTATAATAGACGTGGTCTCTGTCTGATGAAGCTCATGGTCTGGGACCGAACAAAATAATAGTGAAACCAGCTGCCACTGTCGGGTCGCTGTTGCTGTGTAATGACCACAAGCGAGAATCTCTTACAGCTACCCTGTTTCTTCACTGTGGGGCTCTTTGGCCTTAGAGGGCCTCACTGTGTCTGGGGGTCTGTGGAGTTTGGCGTCCCAGGCCAGGCCGAGTGGCGTGATTCTGCCGTTCTACTGGCCAGTCTCTCTTCCCCTGACAGCTAGGTTGGCGCAGCCCGAGGGGAGTGGCAGAACCCCACGGGAGCGAGGGAAGCAGGAGGTTCTGGAGACGTAGCTGGAACGGCACTTGGTCTCTTCCAGCTTTCTCTCCCGGGACCCCCAATACAGCCTGGGATGAGGGGTGGGGGTCGGGGAGAAATGGACTCTAGCTCTTGAGTGAGAGAAATTTCAAAGTCTTTTAGCAGAAAACAGGAGGGGAGGCAAAAAGTGGGAGCCAGAGGGACCCCACTGCAGTCAACAATAGCTGTGCATGGTGTAGTTTCTGACTGTGTGCCGCAGGAAGTGGGGATGGTGCCCTGACAGGGAACAGGGAAGGGGGTGGATGGAGGAGACCTCTCTGAGGCAGAGGAACAGGGGGTGTGAAAGAGTTGGTCAGACAGAGAACATGGGCTAGGCCGGCGGCCTCTCCAGGGGAGGACTGCTTGTGCAACAGCTCTGTCTCAGGAACGGCTTGCAGTGAGGTAAATGGGCTCTGGACAGGGGGTGGAGGCCCAAGATGAGGTGGGCGATGTGGGCAGGACCTGGTGTGTATAAGGTCTCGGCTCTCGTAAGAGTTGTGGCTCTTGGTTTTATGTTAGCGAGATGATTCCATTATGCCCCGGCGTTCCCTAGTCATAGACTAGTTTGTATTCCAAAAGAGTGACTTTGCCCCTCTTTCTTTTGAGGAATGTTGAGGTCCTACCTGGGAACCCCAGGTGGAGATTTCCAGTCATGACTCATTGGAAATTGAATGACATGAGGGGAGGGAGCGTTTCTACGCCGCTCACCACTTGGAGTCTCATACCTGAGCCCTAGCGAGTTCTGCATGAATGGGCATTACGTGCGCGGATAAAAGAGTGAGTGACCGGAAGCCCTGGGTTTGGAGACAGGCTCCTGGACGCTGGACCTGGTTCTGGCGCTAGGCATGTGGTCTTGAGCGAGTCACGACCTCGTTCCTTCCCGACTTGAGCAGTGAGGCCCTGGGACCAGATCCCGGCTTCTTCAAACAGATTTTGTTGAATTCCAGGAGGGTCTCCAGCCCGGGGCATCAATTTTCCTTGAAGATTTGGAATGGGAAGAAAGTTAGGTGGTTTAAAAATTTCCCATTAAAATAATCATGAATATATTATGAATTAGAATGCAAAATATACATGAATTTTTAAAGATAAAATTGGAGACTTCAAAGACATTTCATGCTTGGCAGTGGCAGGTTTAGGCTTTGCCCTCAGACTCCTGGGAAAGCATGTTTACCCGGCTCTCCTGCCGTTTGCCCTACTTTCGTGGGAAAGTTTGCGAAGCATGAAATCAGAGATATTTGCAGTCTTTCTAGCTGCCCGCTATGAGTGAGATTGCAGAGCTAACGTGATGGCGGCGGGATGGCAGGGTGTGGACGTCTCCACGAACTCTTTAGGGTGCACACACGAGGTCTGCTCACTTTGGCTCAATGGCCTGGTCCCCACATGCGAGACGTGTCTGTACCCCACGTCTCACCCCCAAGAGCCCACCCGGTGCCCTGAGCATCATGCCACATGCTGGGATCATGGGTGGGGCAAAGACAAGTTGGGGAGCTGACAGCCAACAGGAAAGACAGTTAAACAACAGAGTCGGGGCGCCACGTGTTGCTTTGGGAGGGGGTGAGGGGTCCCGAGGCCGGAAAGGGAATGGAAACTCGGGGAGATGAGAGCCACAGAGGGGTCCTGAGTTAATTAGTTGGTGGACATGATTATCCTCAATGACTGGCCTGGACCATCCACCTGGAGAGTCTCTGGTTTGGGAGGACCTGGGACTTTGTCCATGTGTGTGGCCTGTTACCTCAGCTCCAGTCATCAGCCGTCCACTCCCAGCCTGGGTCTGCCCGGGCTCTCCTCCCCGACCCTGGAATGCACCAGGGAAACTTCATGCTTAGTAGTACTGTTGCCGCAGGTCTATCTAGCTTTGAGATGTTGCAGGAGTGTCCCCTGCTAGACTCCAGGAAGTGGCAGGCGTCTCATGACATCACAGTCACCCCAGGGGGCACTTTGGCGCTCCAAAAGCATCAACAGTTGTATTCATTTGGCCAGTGGCGTGGCTCCCCCTAAACCATTATGATGGTTACCACGGGCTGAGGTGACTGAGCCCTCTACCATGGCGGCTCATGGAGTATGGATGAGTGAGGCTATAGGTTCTAGAATTTCCTTTTCCAGCCTGGCTTTTAGAGGAAAGACTGCTTTCGTTGTGAGGATTAACTGGAAATACAAGGACCAGGACAATGAGCTACAAATAAGCACGCAGGGCGTTGTCACGCATCTAATTGGTGCTCGCTACATGCCAGCTGCTGTTAGCACCACCACAGCCATTGCCATCACCACCATCACCACTACTGAGACCACCGTCAGCATTGCTCACTGTCAGCACCACCATCCCCAACATGATCCATCTGTCACCACCACCACCACGCTCCTCCACACCGTCACCGTCGTCACCGCCACCATCTTCTCCGCCGTCCTCGCCATGGCCACCACCATCCTCCGAGAGCAGCGGGCTTCCTAGATCACCCTCCCTAGAGGGTGAGGATGCACTGTCTTCCGTCTGCCAGAGGCGTCCAGTCATTCTTTACCCTTCGAAGCATTTCCTGAGCTCTGTGGAGGACGTGGCTGTCTAATCCTTTTACTTCTCTGCCATCTCACACTCCTGCACGCACCTGCCCCTCCCAGCTCTCCGGGACCATTAGGAGATATCTAGGGGGAGGAGAGCTGGGTGTTGGTGTCATGACCTGTGCCTGCAGCTAGCGGCAGAGCATAGTGACCGGTCCGTCCTGAATTTCATGGGTGAGGTAAGGGTCTCTTCATAATGGGGACATCTGGTGCTGGGCCGGGCCAGATGAGATGCTGGGGGAGGAAGCACCCATGGCGATGTTTCTGCAGGGGCAGGAACTGGAGGGGGCATGCACACCTGCCTGCTGAACTTGAACGAGCCCCTCTTCTCACCTTCCTGCTCCCAGGAAGTTGTGCTCAGGTGGCCACGGGGCGCCATCACATTCTCAGGCTGGAGAGTGAATTGCATCTGTGCACCATCTGCTTTGCCCGCCACGGACGTGCCTGTGACCGTGACCTCATGTCCATGTACTGTTCCATTCCACGCTCCTCGCCCCTTGGCTTGCTCCTACGCACAATAAAACAGCAGCACCAAATCCAACTCTCCTCCACCGTGTCTGATCGTGTCACTTCTCTGCCGCTGTCTTGCATATGTCATTGCTTTGGTGCCTGCCTGGTGGTGGGGTGCTGTGGCGGGAATGGCTGCAGCTGGGCCAGCCCAGGCCCTGGGGGAGGGCGCCTGGGCACCGGGGGGAGGGGCAGGAAGCACCCGGTGAGGAGTGGCAGGGTCCACTGAGCTAGGGCACTAGAGCTTCTTGGGCCAGGTGATGCAGGGCACCTCCCTTACCCGTCCTGTCATTCACCCTGAAAAAGAGAGGGTGCTGGGGAGGCAATGAGTGGGGGGCAGAGGGACAGAGGGGGGGTGCAGCAGGGAGGCACAGCAGAGGGTGGGAAGTGACGATCATCTTATCCATCTCTGTCAAGTTGCATCATCAACACACACCTCAGTTTTCTTACCTGTCGAGTGGGGATTTTACAGGTGTCTGTCATGAATTCTGAGTAAGTGAGGTTCAAGGGAATGCACGGGGGGGTGTATTGTGTCAACTTGCTGAAGGAGAACTTGGACACCTCCATCTCTCGTAACACATCCCGTACCCTAGTTTGCTATTTGGGGTCTCACTGTCCACAACCCCAAGGCCACCGTAGCCTCTAGGAAGGGAAGCAACTGTCTGATCGGCCCACACAGCCAGCTTTGGCTTCCACGGTCCTGGGCTCAGATTCTTACGCAGTCTCTGTCCTAGTTATCTGTTGCCACAGAACAAGTTAGGGCCTGCAACGAGCTTTTCTACAGTTGGGCAGGTGACGCTCAGCGGGTCACAACTCAGGGACCCGGCCAGGCCCACCAGCTGCTGGTGTTCTTCCCTGGAGGTGACTAGAGGAATCTGCTTGCAGTTCATTCAGGTAGTGCGGAGGCTCCAGCTTCTTCGTGTGATGCTCAGAGTCCCAGACTCGGCGGCCTGTTCACCGAGAGCTGTTCTCAGCGTCTAGAAGCGTCCCGAATTCCTTGCTACTTGGCCTCCTCCAGCTTTACACCAACGATGGAGAAATTCTCCTTCCTTAAGTTCCCACTTCTCATCTCTTCCTGACTTCTGGACTTGGGTTGGAGGGCCGTGGCACAAAGTCAGGTTCATGGGAGGACATAAAGCCACCTGTGCTCATGGCCTGACCTTGGGGGCGACCCTGGCTTGGCATTCTCAGAGAATGTGGGGGCCTCTGTAGAATTCTCTGTGCACACTCACTGACTTTTGGAAAGCCTGGGGAGTAACGAGCCCCTCTGGGCCTCAGCTTTCTGTTCTCTACCACGTAATGTTCCAGCACGCAGAGCTTATTACAGGCCGTGCTCGCCCACCTGACCGTGTCGCCCGAGCCTCAGGTGTCTCCCCTCCCTGCCATTGTTGCTCTTTGCTGCAGACTGTCCTGTGTGGGGACACACGTCCCTGTAGCAGGAGGGTCCTCGAAGTGCACTGCTGAACACCCCAAATTCGTGCTGGCTAGAAGCTTTCCCTGAGTGGCACCCGCCTAAGACCCCTCTTCAGTGGGTACATGTGGAGACAGCATCTTTATCTGCAGCAATCACCTGGGTGATGCTGACTGCGAGGCCACATAGACACCTGCAGCTGGTGGCCCCCAAACTCCACAGCACCCCCATTGTTCCCAGCAGTAATGTTGGGGAGAACCTGGCCTCTGGGGTCATCATCATTAACAGGATGTCCTAAATAGAGGTGCCTCATGGGGTGGCTTACCCAGCCCCCACCCTGCCCCCCCACCCTGCATTTTTGCCTTTTAACAGAGGAGTGGTCCAGGGTCCCCCACAACCCGGCCGAGCTTGGTCCTTGATTCTGCTTTGTGGGCTGCAGGTGTCCAAGTAGAGGAACAGACTTAGTGGCATTGAGCTCTCTTTCGGAATGGAATCGCTGGGACCTCAGGAAGCTGGTGGGCCAGAGTAGCGAGCCCCCTGCACCCCTCTACTCCAGGCCAGCCCCCCCCCCCCGCGGCCTCTTTTCTTGTCCAAAAGCCCAGGCATGCCCGTGGGGCAGGCGACACAGCCAGGTGACCTGGAACAGGAACAGGGCAGGCCCAGGCCGGGGCCAGCGGGAACTTCTAAGCAGGAAGTTCCCGAGGTGGTGGCAGCCTCAGAGAGCCTGTTCTTGTTCTTCCAGGAGCCATTTCCACCCCCCTGGAAGCGGTGCTGGCCCCACTGTCCCAGAGGGGCCGGCTGACGGCGGAGACCCTGCAGCCCCGGCACCATTCACGCGGGCCCCCACCGGCCTTCAGGAGAGAGGCCTCAGTGCGTGGGCCCTGGCAGTCTGGAGGGCGCAGGGCGGGCGCAGAGCGCCTCCCGGAAATCCCAGCTAGAAGTTTCTTCTGTGGGCTCACAGCCAGCCTGCTCCTCTACCCAGACCCCAGGCTGCTGCCAGACCCAGAGGTTTAGGCTGCCTCTCTTTCTTCTTGGAGACACATTCTGGCCCGGGGTTTCCTGTTTCCTTCTCATGCCCACGTCCCACATTCAGCCTTTCTTCCTGGCCGCCCCTGCTGGGCTGGCAGCCGGCTCAGGAGCGTGCCGGGGCTAGGGTCATCCCCAGGGGTTCACCAAGGTCAGCCAAGGTCAGTGCGGTCACAGGCTGGACAGATTTCAGGACAAGGTGGGGGTTTGGGCTAAGCTGGGCCTCCTGCCACACTTACAGCCCTGGGATCAGTGTCTCCACTTCTTCTGCTGGGTAGAGAAGGGGTATGGGGTGTGGCGGGAACTAAGTGTTGCGCACCCTGGGGCATGGAATTTGGGGTGACTGCAAATTCAGCTGGCCACATCCAGCAACTCAGGCCTGGAAGACAGACAGTTTGTCCCGGGCTGTGACTTCCCCGCGCTGGGGAGGATGCCCCGGACTTGGGCCTGGCCGGCCCCTTGGCCGAGGCCCCCGTGTGGCTGTGCCCCACCGTGGGGGGCCGGCTCCCCGCAGCTCTCCTGATCGGTCCCAGGGCCAGCCAGAGAGGCCTGCGCTCCGCCCCACGGGACCGCCTCCCACTCCCGCCGCTCACGCGGGCTCTCTCTCTGCAGCCCGGCCAGCACACGGCTCCCAGCCCCCACCTGACCGTGTACACGGGGACCTGCGTGCCCCCCTCCCCCTCCATGCCGCGGTCCCCCTCCTGCCGCTCGCCCCGCAGGCCCTTCCCGTCGCCCGCCCGCTTCATCCGGAGGCCCAGCAGCACCGTGTGCCCCTCGCCCATCAGAGTGGCCGTGGAGAGCTCGGGCTCCGAGCAGAAGGAGGAGGCCGGCGGGGGACGCCGGGGCCCCTGCGTCGCCGCCAGCCGCCAGGCCCGGGGCGCGCCCAAGGCCCGCGTGGCTCTGTCCTTCAGCAGGTTTCTGAGACGAGGCTGCTTGGCCTCCCCGGTCTTCGCGCGGCTGTCGCCCAAGTGCCCCGCCGTGGCCCACGGGAAGGTGCAGCCCCTGGGGGAAGTGGGCCAGCAGCTGCCACGGCTGAAATCCAGGAGAGTCCCCAAGTAAGGACTGGGGGCGGGGGCGGGCGGAGTGTGGGTGCTAGAGCTGGGGGCTGGGCGAGGGAGGGCCCTTGGCCACTGGACGGCTTCCAGAAGCCCCCTGTCTGCTGGGAAAGGGGCCAGTGTCTTTTCCATTTTTTCCCCTCCATGTTTTTTCTCCCCATCCTGCACCATCTCAAGGTCTACAACATCTGTTGCATTTTTAAAGGGCAGGAAAGGCCACTGGCCACAGTGAGACCCAGTGGTGGTGGGATGCATAGGGATGGGTTTTGGGGTCCCCAGCCTCCCACCCCTATCTTTGGTGCTCTGGCCTCCCACAGCCCCTCAACACTCAGCAACAGACTCTCAGAGGGATTTGCCGGGTGCTTTTCCTGAAGCTGTTTATGGGAAAATGGCAGAGTCCAGGATCAGCCAAGAGGGTCCCCCTGGAGTCCATTTTTTGGGGGGGGGGTGCTGCAAGCCTGAAGCCTGGAACCCAGGTTTCCTGAGGCAGCATTCTGGGCTCACAGCAGGGCCTCAGAATCCAGCATGTCTGTCTATTGATTCTTCCCGACTGGCCCCTGTAAGAGAGTGTTTCAGCTTTGCAGCCACCGCCCTGCCTCACCTGGGGGCTGGGAGCCCCTTTCTCAGAAACCCCTGATTCATAGGAACATCCTGAATTCACCAAAACCAGAAACAGTTTAGCCTCTCGATAATGAAAATAATGCACCTTCAGAAGCATCCTGAATTCGGCAGGAAAGTGTGAGTCCTCCAGGCCAAGTGTCCAGTGTCACTTTCTCCAGGGATGGCAGGCTAAGGTGGGGACTTGGGGCTCCCCATCCCCATGCTACTTGCTTCCTTTTTGTGCTTGAAGCTTTTTCCAGATCAAAATGGACGTGCCTATGGAGAGCGGGACCTGCTTGGTGGACCCCGAGGACGGCGCGGGAGAGTCGGGGGACCAGAGCGCGGAAAAGGAGGTCATCTGTCCCTGGGAGAGCCTGGCCCAGGGGAAGGCTGGCTGAGCCGGGCCCTGGGCGTGAGGCGCTCCTTGCCAGGCTCTACTGAGGGGCACGGAGGGGCCCAGACGCGCTTGCTCTTGAACCAAAGTGCACTGAGATTCTAATCGGGAGAAAACCCCCCCCCCCCGAGAGACGAGGGGAGGGGGGCGGTGAGGGGGACGCGTGCTCCCCACCGCCCCGGCTGCTTCCTCCCGTCGTCGGGCAAGAAGGCATGTGTATCCGGGCACTTCCTTGCTGCCTTAAAACCCATAAAAGGCTGACCTGTCAGAGCCTCCGGGAATGAATGCTTGCGCGTGTCTGGTTTTATCAGTTCCTTATGAGCTATTTTTTGTGAGCTAAACTCATGTCTTCTTTGGTTTTCTGGATAAAGGGACATTGAGTCACTTTAAAGAACTCCCTCCATATCTGAATTGGTCTGTGTGTGATGTTTTTATCCACAGAGCTGGTCAAGGGGTGTCCCGGGGTGTGGCCTCACACAGGAAGGGGGTGCTGGGGTAAAACTTCCTTCTAGAATACCAGGTCTGTGCAGATCCACCAGGAAGCAGCTCCAAGATGGGACTCGACAGGCAAGGGAATAATTGGGGGGAGTACGAGTGAAGGATGATGCATAGCAGCAGGATGAGAGATTTACACCATGGCAGGGCTGACCTCTGGGGATGGAGGAGTAGGCAGGGGCCAGCTCAGAGGCAGCATGGTTCCAAGAAAGTCTTAGCCAGGTCACTGGGGTGTCCTTGAGCCAAAGCCACCCTTGGGAGGGACCCTTATGGGACAGGTCTACACTGATATCCCACAGGGCAAGGTCACTGGCAGGGAGCACTGGGTCTGGACATGCTGGTGGCCTGCAGTGAGCATGCTCCTTGCATAGGAGGCCTGGGCACCACCTAGTGGTCACTTCTGACACTTTGGGCTTCAGTGCACCCCCCTCCCCACTGCACTTCCCCTCCCGGTTCTTACTTAATGAGTATGTATGGAGACCTACTGTGTGTCAAGCACTGATATTCCTGGTTGGGACTGTGGGTAAGGCCCCGTGCCTCACTGATACCACCTAGAACAGTAGTTTTAGTCCAGGGAACAGCTTTGTCCCCTGGGGTGCTGAGCAGTGTTAGCAGAGATTTCTGGTTGTGGGGTGCATACAGAAACCTCGTGGCAAAGTCCAGAGATGCTGCTAAACATCCTACAGGGAGCAGGACAGCCGCCCAGCCCTCCACAGTGGAAGGTTGTCTGGTCCAAATGATCAGCCCACCATGGGGAAACCCTGCCGCAGAGGTGACAGGTCACTGTGTGGGTGCGCACCTGCCCCTTGTCACTGATTTCTGTCCAAAGCCTGTTAGTGTGGCCCTGAAGGGATTTGCTGGAATCCCGATTGGATTGAAGAGGGGGATGAGGTAAGGACGACACAGCAAATAAAACATTTCTCAAAAGTTGCACATGCAAAGTCCTCATAGAAAAAAAATCAAGTGGTTTGCTAAACGACTCCTTCTATGCTGCTCCTTTAAGCCTCAGTTTCATCAGAATTCAATCAGTAGATCAGAGCCCCCCTCAGTTGCTTTTAATCCCTGACAACTGACCTCAGTTAGCCTTTAATTACTGGGGCTGCAGCCAATGTTCTGCACTTTCTAAGGCCATGTGATGGGGAGGTGCGGGGTGCAGACCTGGCCTTCTGACCTGGCAGGGAGACCACAGACGCTTCAGTGCAGAAAGAGCACCCCATTCAGAATCCACTCTCTTGGGCCTATAGGAGTCACACTTCTAGGGGAGGAAACCCCTCTTAGAGTAAGTGAAACATGCCAGACCTTACTTGGAAGGTGATGGGCTAATTAATTTATGTCCTTATTTGCAAAGCTGGTTTAAAGGAAAGGCAAAGCAGTCTACACCTGTCATCTGCCCCCGGCCTGTGTGCGTGGAAATAATAAAAATCTCCAGCCTGGACTCCCATATCACTGCTTCGGGGGTTCCAATCCTTAGCCCCTGGGGTCCTATAGAGACCCTAAGCCCATATGGATCCCCAACATTAAAGATGGAGCGCTGCAGGAATCACTGGTTCAATTAGGTAGAGCTCAAGGTGGGGTGGAGAGAAAACAGCCCGCAGAAGAAAGTGTCAAAGACAAAGGAGCTTCTGTGTCCATCACAAAACTGTCCCAGGAAGAAGGAACCCCGGGCAGGTGGACTCCAGGGAATAAAGAGAATCCAGGGACAAGCACTTTTTGAGTCTTGCTCCACTCACCGCCGCCCCACCCCCTCCAGCACCCACTTACTGCTTAAGAAGACTCTCCACCTTGTCTGGATCCGCTGGGGAGTCGCGGGCGATCCTGATGCCAAGGACATATCCAATCCAAACACATAAGGATTTCTGGAGCCCAGCATGAAGATTTTTAAAGACTTTCCCAGGTGATTCTAATGTCTAGACTGGGGCTGTGATTGAAACTGGTTCTTTACCCCCGTGTCCGTGTTCCTCCCTCCATAGACATGGGGGAAAGTGGAAAAGGGGAAGACGGTTAAGTTCATACCCTAGACTTAGGTGTTATTTCCACTCGTATCCTATTGGTCCGCTCTGGTCACATGACCACACCTACCTGCAAAGGAGGCTGGGAAATGTAGTCTCCAGTTATATCAGCTTGTGACTAGCCAACCTGGAGATTCTCACACTAGGGAAGAAGATGGGAGCATGAATATTGGTGGCCACTTAGTCTCTCCCACATGAGAGGTGCTTTTCTCTTGTGCTTTTCTCTTCTAGCAGCAACATGAGGGGAAACACTGCCGCCTCTCAGGCTGAAAGAAGCACAGCTTCCCATGGGCCACTGCGGGACCCTCCCCAAGGATGGAGGCAAAGGGACCTCAGGACACCTGCAGAAATTGCTTTGCTTGCAGGTTTACAAGAGAAGGCAAATAAGCACACCCCCCAAAACCTTGACGGACATAATGGAATGCTAGAAGAGGACACTCACTGCCTCCATTTCTGCTGTGACCCCAGAGTCTGGGGCTAAGACGCTGGAATGGAAAGTATGGAAAAGGGGCGAATATAGGAGTGGTTGATTAGCTTTTGTTTGGCCAACCATTTGGTAAATGTCTATAAAATGTAGGTAAGCACTAGTGCATGCACTCACACTGAGTGCCTGCTGGGTGCTGAGGCCCAGGGAGCAGGGCTGACTTCCGCCTGCAACTCTGCTGTCGCTCTATCAGTCATAGCTGTGAAGCTGGCTCTATGGGTCTCTGTGGAGTGTGAGGTTACAGAACGTGAGTGACCCCCTGTCCCTTTCCAGGTTGGAATACCTCCATGTGTTCCTCACCTGTTAATTGGTGCTGAACCCCCTTCACTGAGTTATTTGAAGCTGTATCAATTGACGTGGTACATATGTAGTCATTTGTCTGGTCAGATCTTAATAGGGTATGGAATAAAACAACTTTCCTTCCCTATCTTCTTCCTCTGCTCCAACTCTCCCTTGAAGCCTATTCCTTGAATTAACTCTTTAACCCTAGAAGAGCGCTCTGGCAGCTTCCATAACTTTTCTCCCCCACCCCTGCCCTGCAGAAAATAGACCCTCCTAGCACTGTTACCAGGTAATCTCAACACAGCTCTGTATGCAAGCAGTTCAAAGATTAGGTGAGGAACAAAACGCAGACCTTCATCCAGAGGAAAGCTCTGCCCTTCCTCCAGCTTGGACTTCCTACATGTCTGGGGTTGTGGTTTGGAAAGAGGAGCTCGTTTCTTCTCCTTTCCCTTCTTTTCTTCCTCCCCCTCTCACACTGCAGCCTGTGCCTCCTGGAGGAGCGAAGGGAGAACCAGGGAATTCTTAGTTGACTGACATGGAACCCCTGTCCTGTGCTCCTGGGCCCCCTGCCGTTCTCACTTAGTTGGGTTTTTCTAGATTTTTCGGGGCCTCTGGCTTCAGCTACCTGGGCCAGAGGGAACTCAAATGGCCTCAGTCAGCTGCACAAAGCTTTGTCTTCGTCACTGAGCACTCCTGTCCACTTCCAGCTGAGGAACATCCTCAAGTCCCTCCTTAAAACCAAATGTTGTGACTTGCCATTCATTTATAAAAATTACCCAGCCACCCCAGCCACCCCAGCCTGGCTTCCCACGTGCAGCCTCACCCCAGATGCCCTTGTCCAGCAGGCAGCCCTGCCTCTTGCTCACCTCTCTGCTGGTGGGCTCACCTGTCTCAGCTCTCCTGTTCCTTTTGTTCACGTTCTGTGGGCAAGTGAAGCCCTCTCAGGGCCTGTGAGTTTTTCTCTCCACTTCAGAGAGTGCAAAGCACCCCTCCCCCAAAAGAGAGCGTGCAGGAATGGCCTTTGCCCCCAGCCTCTGCTGGTCCTGCCCACATGCCCCACACTCACTGGATTGGGCTGGCTGTGGGTGTCCAGCGTCTTAGCCCCAGACTCTGGGGTCACAGCAGAAATGGAGGCAGTAAGTGTCCTCTTCTAGCATTCCATTATGTCCGTCAAGGTTTTGGGGGGTGTGCTTATTTGTCTTCTCTTGTAAACCTGCAAGCAAAGCAATTTCTGCAGGTGTCCTGAGGTCCCTTTGCCTCCATCCTTGGGGAGGGTCCCGCAGTGGCCCATGGGAAGCTGTGATTCTTTCAGCCTGAGAGGCGGCAGTGTTTCCCCTCATGTTGCTGCTAGAAAAGCACAAGAATTCCAGGGGTCCCTGGGAGCCCCGAGGGGAGCGAGGAGCGTGAGGGGACACTGGACACCAAGCGCCTCTTCTGCTCCAGGCATTGTCTCCTCACATTTCACCAGAAGAGGGAGTCCGAGACTCACGGATCCCCAAAAAGAAAGAGCAGGGATGTCCTCTTACCTCGTGTTGGGCCACCAGGGAGAGGAGCTGGGGACAGGCACTTTCCTCACTGGAAAGCCAGGTGGGGCTGGCAGAGGAATGGGGTCTGACTGCGTGTTTTGTCCTCCTGTTATTTAACTTTTCCAAACACCTGCAGCAAAAATACAAATAGAAAACCAAATGGAGTGTCCTAATTGTCTACTCTCTTTCCAACTGGTCCAGAAGACTGAGATATAGAATTTTTTCCCCCAAAAAATAAATATCAGGAGTCCCTCCTTGATTCATTTTTG